CACATTTATCACATGATGGCGATCTCCTACTGGAAGTCTCTGCTCTGCTGTACAAGTCACATGTATAGGGATCACTCCTGGTGTAGACGTCAGTTACTGTGGGGATGGTAGTCCCTTGTCCTAATTGTCCATTGGGGATGTAGTCCTACTAATTGGTGTCACTTCCTGCAGTGGCACCGCGAGTCATACGGATGAATATTTCACAAAGCCGGGACACAGGGATAGGGATCAGGAGGATAAACCATGTGACTGTCATTTTTAAAGGAGAACTATGAGGGGGGAGGGGCTTGTCACTCACCTCATAGTTCTAGCCGACCTGTGACAATGAGACTGTCACTCAGTAGATCGGGAAGTGAGGGAACACATACCGGCGTTCGCTCACCTCTCGATCCTGTCACTGCTCTCTGGATTCCCCCCCTCCCCGCTCCGATCCTCCAGCGCTGACTGGCGGAACGGACGGGGGAGGGGGCGGGTACAGCTGGCTCTGCCTCTAGATAGGCGGAGCCAGCTGTCAGTCACGCAGCTGGGCGGATCTCGGCATAATTGTCGGGATCCGCTCCGGCTGCGGCGTCTCGGTATACCGCGAGCTGTAGCTCCCTATATACTGAGCCTAGGGTGACGGGAGGACGCTAGTTTGTGTCCCCATGTGACCCTGAGGAGAACTATGGGGGAAAAGCCCTGACCTCGGAGTTCTCCTTTAAATCTCATTGGAGAGAAAATAAGGATCCTTATCCGGCTGTGTTGGCTTTGTGAATGGAGACTCCTGATGATCCTGGAGGATGTTGGGGGTTGTTGTCTTCTCACCATCTCACATGTGGCTGTTATATGAAGCAGGAAGGTGATAGTCCGTGGAATGTACGCGTTCTGATGGGACATTTCTCGGTGTGATGTGAAGAATGTGGGATTCCCGTCACTTCCAGAGTCTGCGCATTGTATTCAGAGCCGGCTTCCTGCCCCGGTGACCCGTCACCCTTCCTCCTCTGATATGGATCTCCTCCATGTGATTTCCGTGTTTTCTCTCCGAGTATTTGAAGGTTTTTGTTGTTTGTTTGTAGGGATCGCGCTCCCTTCGTCCTGACCTCAGACATGGCCTACGTCATCAATGGAGGAGAGAAGCCCACCAGCCGCTTCCAGCTGTTCGTGGACCTGTGCTGCCAGGCCTACAACCTGCTCAGGAAACACGCCAACCTTTTCCTCAACCTGCTGTCCCTGGTCAGTACTCCCC